AATTAAATCCAATTTCAAACTGAAAAATAAAAACAAAGACTGATAAAATAAAGACTAATGAAATCCTATTTAAGGCAGCTGAATAGCTGCTTAGGAAATCCTACAAGAGGGACACTGGTTGCAAAAGAGAGAGCCAGAAAAAATAGGAGGAAGAAGAGAAGGAATTTTCTTGGCTAAGGAAGAAAGGGCTCGGGCTGCTACCACAAATAGCACCTTGATCCACAACATTTCTACCTTTCCTCTTGCTAAAGAACTCTGCAAAGATGTGGGAGAAGTTTCTGGACAGTCTGCTAGAGTGCAGCCCACGAGCGGAAGAAGAAGGAGAAAAAGTATTCATATTTATGATGGGATTAAAGAAGTTAATATCTTGTAAACTATATTATGCATGAATATCCAATAATCAAACGCGCCCTTATAAAAGAAGATGGGGATGCCAAATTATTATTTGTCTAACCTTAAAAGGCCCATTATTTGTCTTGAAACTAATGCCTGGGAGATACTTGAGCCAAACTGGAAAACCCCTGAAATTGAAACAATAAAAGATGCTCAAGAAACAAAAATAATAGTGAAAAAGGGATTTCTATAATATTTTTCTATAGAAATTTCATTTTCATTCTCTAATATTACCCAAAAGTCCATTGAGCACATGCATAGGGGCCTATTCTGAGATGAACAAAAAGCCCCGGTTGCTGCACCAGCTTAATAATAGTAAGACCTACTTTTCGAAACAGTACTAAGACCTACTTTTCAAATTCATTAACCCCTAATTTATCAACAGGGAAAAATGGGATCTTGATTAAATAAATTAGGCAATATTTCAATCCATAAAAACTTCATAAAAATATTACAAGAATTATAATCATGAGCCACAAGACAGGATAATTACCTTATTCAGAAACAACTGAATTTGCTGTAGCTGAGGCTGAAGAAGATGAAGGTGGAGACTCTGTACAAGAAAAAAAATAAAATTAATCCATGTCTCGCGGAGGCACCAACCGTGTCTCTGTTGAGCACGGGGACACGCACCGTGCGCGACGGAGGCACGCTCCATGCGCGACGGAGGCACGCTCCATGCGCGACGGTGATAGGTCTTTGGATTTCACAGACTGAAATTTAAAGACTGAATATAA